CAATGAATGAATGGAAACCCAAAATCTCTGTAAATGTTTATGAAAATTAATAAAATATAATTATAGAAAAAAAAATCAAATAGAAGAACCAGAATTACAGCATGAATCAGGAATCTTAATAAATCTGAGAACCTAGTTACAGAAATTTTGTTTGTGATGAACGGTTTTCTAAGTGGTACAGCACTGGTCTGTCTGTTTGCTGTACTGAAGTAACTTGGGGTTGCTTTGATGCTGACTGCTATGCCACTGGTGTGTCAAATGCCATAATGGTTATCCATCATGGACAGTGTTTGGTGGAGTTCCCAGATTGAGATGGGTTTGGAAGCAGGAATGGCTTTCACTTGTTAAACAGCATGACTCTGAAAACTCTATGAACTTAGAAAAATGATGATAGAGAACAGAGTTCAGGTCTTTTGTTCATAGGGTCACTATTTGTTGTGCTTGACTCAGTGACACTTAACAATACAACAAGAAGTTACAGAAAAACTGATCACTTTCTAAGGGCAGAAAAGTATTTTCTTCAGTGAACTACACCTGTATATCAGAACTAAGTAAATATTGTGGTGGAGATTCTGAAGTTTCAAAGGATTCACCTCAAGTTATTTGTATGTGCATAACTGCTTGGCTTGTTTCTAAGCCAAGTAAATAATTGACTTTGATATATTAAATCTTTATTATTTTCTTTATGAAAAATATTTAAGAATTTTTGTTTTCCCTGACTCTGATTTCTGTAGTAAAGATTATGTTTCTTATCTTGTTGTTATGAAGGCTGTGTGAGAACACCTAGGTGGGCCCTTTTTAAAATATCACTGTCTTGCTTGCCTCAGTTACAGCAATACCAGTACTACAGTGCAGGCCTGCTTTCTACATATGATCCTTTCTATGAGCAACAACGGCACCTGCTTGGACCTAAGAAAAAGAAATTCAAGGAGGAAAAGAAACTTAAAGGTATGTGTGTTGACCTCTCCTCCACTTTTACTCATTCTGAATCACTTTTTTAAAGTAAAGATAGATTTGTTAGAAAGTTAATTATTAGAAAGGGATGAACCTCCTTCTTAGAAAGGAAACAGGGAAGAGAAAGGCCTTGAATAACATGTTTTGACTTTAAACATAATTCCCATAATAGACATTTGTTTTGTTATCCGAGAACTTCTCTCTCATATCTAATAATATGCAAGTACTACTATTATTGCATATATATGGTCATTTCTAGATTTAGAAAGACATAAGAAATATAAATTCCTTGCCAAAACTTTGGGTCAGTTGCTTTATTCCTTTTCCCTTCTATATATTTTGCAAATGTTGAAATATTCTCGGAGAGGAGGGCTTTGATTATCCACAGGGAAATGTTAAGAGTAACCCAGAACCTTTGGAATAAGCTATAATTGTTGCTGTCTGTGGTGATTTAAAATAGATCACCTCCTGTTGATCTTCTGTAGGGTTTGGTTTCATGTTTGCCAGGAAATGCCCTTTCCTCTCTTATTTAGGTTTTAGCAGCTGGAAAAACGGAAGGAAACAGGAAGGGAAAGTTTTAAAATATCTGTGGAAGGCAATTTTACTACTCTGAAGGTCTGAACTCCAAAAGACTCTGTGGCCTTCTTCATCTTTGTCTTACAGCCTCTGTTTTGTATCTCTTTTCTCATTTTCCTCCCAAAATCCACAAGCACCTTCAGTATGGTTGAGTCAGTTCTGACTCAGTGATCGTATATGATAGAGTAGAAATTCTCATAGGCTTTCCAGAACTGTAAATCTTTACAGAAGCACACTACTACATCTTTTTTCCTCAGAGTAATGGGTTGGTTCAAGCACCAACCATTTGATTACTAGCTGAGCACTTCAAACAATGTCCATCAGTGTTCCTTATTCATCTTTTCCACACTCCTCCCCCCAGTTGTTGTTGTTGTATACTGTCAGGGTGGAACCAACCAACTCTTAGCTGATCCTCAAGGGGGTTTTCAAGAGGCTGTTGCCCATCTATCTCTGTGGAGCAGCTGGTGGATTCTAACTGCATGCTTTTGTGATTGCAGTGCAGCTTTTTACCACTAGGCCAGCAGAGCTCTTGATCCCTTAAATTTAGTAATCAAATATATCTTTGACATTTGTGCTGTCATTTAATCATTTTTTTCCTTGTTAATTCTCTTCAACTACATTATATTTCCACCAAGTAATTACAGGTGCTCTTCTTGTGACCATTACTTGAGCCCCATAATATTTCCTTTTCCTCCCTTCCTCCTGGGTTCAAAAGACGTTTGATTTTCAGGTTTTGTTCTTTATTTCTCTTTAAGCATAGAAGGTATTTTTTTTCTTCTCCAAAGCAGTAACATTTTCCTCAAGGAATATTCATGAGCCTTAATAGAGGAAGGTATAAACATTTCTAGGCTGAGAGAGACTGAGGAAAAAACCTTGAGTTTTCTTAAAGTGATGACATTGTCTTGTGACTCTCCCTTATGTAAGGAAAAAAATACAGTCTTATGAACATCTGTTTCCTTTGCAGCAAAGTTAAAAAAAGTGAAGAAAAAAAGGCGAAGAGATGAAGAACTTTCCTCTGAGGAGTCTCCTCATCTCCACCATCACCAGACCAAAGTCTTTGCCAAGTTCTCTCATGATGCACCTCCACCTGGCACCAAGAAGAAGCATTTATCCATTGAGCAGCTTAATGCTCGTCGTAGGAAAGTATGGCTCAGCATTGTGAAAAAGGAACTACCAAAGGTAGGTAGATTCCTCCGTACGGTGATTCTCCTTCCTGCAAGAGGAAGCTCTGAGAGATAGGTAACTAAACAAATTGTTATTTATAGTTTTGAAAATTAATTAATTTGTTATAATTTAGAGAATGCTGAGCAATTATCTTGTGAATCTTCTGTATTCTCTTTAGTTCCCTTTTGAATTCTGACTCAAATAGTTGAGTCAGAATTCACAAAATAATTAGGAATAGTTGGATGATGCTCTCTTGCCAAGAAAAAGGAAGGAAAATGAGTTTTAGAAAGGAACATTAGCTCTGCTGGCCTAGTGGCAAGAAGCTGTGCTGCACTACCAAAGGTACACTGTTCAAGGCCACCAGCTGCTATGCTGGAGAAGCACGGCCAGTCTCCTTCTGTGCTATTAACTGCTTCTGAAAACCCACCGGAAGGTCAGCTGTGAGTCGGTTTTGACTCTGTGGTACACAACAAGCCACCAGAACTTTCAGTAGAAAGGAACACATTTTTCTTATGTACAGCAAGAAACTGCATGAAAGAAAAGTAGGGAACTGGCAGAAAATTGATAGCTTGTAATAGTGGCAGGTGTAAATTAGAAAGGAGATGATGTGTTTCTTAGAGAATTTATAAATTTTGGTTTTGGTTTTTCTGAGTAATCATAGGTACACAAAGGAAATGGTTTAGAAGAAACTTATGTAAGCATTCTTTGTATTTATTTTTTATAAAATTTTGATATGTTTTCAATATAAATATTGTAACAATATTGTAATTGTTTATTACTCAGTATCAACTAATAGAATAATACACAGTTTTTACAGTTACAACTATTGGTACTAAAGTATGTATATGAAAAAAAAGAGCTAGGAAAGCAGTACAAAACCCCTCTAATTATTAAAACCCGCTATAAAGTCTGTTCAGTTAATAGAAGGGTGAGAGTCCTGTCACTCATCTTTTAGCCAAAAAGCAGACAAGCCTGTACTGTGAGTAGTAACACCAGTGAAGTACTTCTTAGAAAAGGACAACATTTTCCTAGAGATAAACCTTAAAAGGCAGTCAAGGATAGGATAGAAGGATGAATGGAAATGAGAATACAGAAGAATGCTGTTACAACGTTGTTATGTGCCATCGAGTTGTTTGCAATTCATAGTGACCCTATGTACAAGAGCTCTGAACACCGTTCTATTCTGTGCCAGCCTAGCCATAAATGCACTCATTCCCACCACTCCAGTCACAGAATCGATCCATGGCATCAAAGGTCTTCCTTTCCTGCATCGCCCCTCCACTCTGCCAAACATGATGTCCCTCTCCAAGGACCAGTCCCTCCTTGCAACATGCCCAAAATATGTTAGACGAAGCTTTAGAATCCCTGACTTCAAGGAACATTCCGGCTTCTCCTTCTCCAGGACAAACCTGTTTGTTCTCCTGGCAGTCCATGATATATTCAACACTCTTCTCCAGCACCACAACTCAAAGGCATCAGTTCTCTTTCTAGCATCCCTATTCACTGTCCAATTCTCTGATGCGTAGCACGTAATTGCAAAGACTATAGCCTGGATCAGGCGTACCTTAGTCTCCAGCCTGATGTCATTGCTCTTCAGTGCTCTTGAGAAGTCCCTCACAGCTGACTTTCCCAATGCAATTTGTCTCTTGATTTCTTGGCTGCTGTTACCAAGAGTGTTGACTGTGGAGTCAAGTAAACTAAAACTGTTAACTATCTCAAACTCTTCACCATCCATACTGGTACTGCCAATTGGCCCAGTGGTGAGAATCTTTGTTTTCTTGATACTGAGTGTCAATCCATATAGGAGGCTGCAATCCTTGACCTTGTGTAACAAGCGCTTCAGGTCCTCCTCAGTTTCAGCAAGTACAGGGTTGTGTCATCTGCAAAACCCAGGTTGTTCTCTAGGCCAGAATCTTTACAGGAGCAGATCACCAAGTGTTTTCTTCTGTGGAACCATTGGTGATTTCAGACTAAAACTCTGCTAACTTTAGATTAACAGCTGCGCACTTAACCATTCCACCACCAGTATATACATAGACTTTTTTTTTTGGCTGAGTACAGTGTACTTTATTGATGGTACATGACAAGATGGGCTTGCCAAGCCCCTCCCCTTTCTCAGGGGGATTTGATGGAAACTTGTGTCAAGGATGTGAGATTCTCAGTGTGTGGGAGGATCAAGTTGGGGCAAGGACTCCCCAGCAGCTGAGGGTCTCTCTCTCTTCTAGTGCTATTGCTGGGGCTGGTGGTCCAAGGGGATCTTATTCTTTGGAGGCCATGTAAACCATCAGGTCGACCACCCAGTTGCTGTAGCCAAATTCATTGTCATACCAGGAAATGAATTTGACAAAGTGGTTGTTCAGAGCAATGCCAGCCCCAGCATCAAAGGTGGAAGAGTGGGTGTCACTATTAAAGTCACAGGAGACAACCTGGTCTTCAGTGTATCCCAGAATGCCCTTGAGGGGCCCTCTCTGATGCCTGCTTTACTATTTTCTTGATGTCATCATATTTGGCAGCTTTCTTCAGACGGCAGGTCAGGTCCACAACTGACACATTGGGGGTGGGGACACGGAAAGCCATGCCGGTAAGTTTCCTGTTCAGTTCAGGGATGACCCTGCCCACGGCCTTGACAGCGCCATTAGATGCAGGGATGATGTTCTGGGCAGCTCCACAGCCATCCACAGTCTTCTGGGTGGCAGTGATGGCATGGACTGTGATCATGAGTCCCTCTACAATGTGGAAGTTGTCATGGATGACCTTGCCAGGGGAGCCAAACAGTTGGTGGTGCAGGAGGCATTGCTGACAATCTTGAGAGAGTTGTCATACTTTTCATGGTTCACGCCCATCACAAACATGGGGGCATCAGCAGAAGGAGCAGAGATGATTACCCGTTTGGCACCACCCTTCAAGTGAGCCCCAGCCTTCTCCAAGGTTGTGAAGACACCAGTGGACTCCACAACATTGATGTTGGCGGGATCTCGCTCCTGGAAGATAGTGATAACTTTCCCATTGATGACCATCTTCCCATTTTCAGCCTTGACAGTGCCGTTGAACTTGCCATGGGTGGAATCATATTGGAACGTATAGACCATGTAGTTGAGGTCAATGAAGGGATCATTGATGGCGACAATATCCACTTTGTTAGATGAAAAGCAGCCCTGGTGACCAGGCGCCCAGTACGGCCAAATCCGTTTACTCCGACCTTCACCATCGTGTCTCAGGGATGCGGCTGAGGCTGCACAAGAAGAGAGGGCAATCTGGATCGACGAGGAGCAGAGAGCTACATAGACATTTTTAGAGCCAGTTTGAGAAGTGATGCTGAATTCATGTCAGTTTGTATTTCCTTAGAAAAAAGACATTCTCATATTCTCAAACACAACACAATCATAAATATTAGGAAATTTACTATTACTTGGTCCAGTCTATTTTCACATTTTATCAGTTGACCCACTAATACCCTTTATAGCCTTCCTATTTTCAGCTCCCTACTTAATTCAGGATCTGTTGTGGCACTGTGTTCTGCATTTATTTATACCTTTTTAATCTCTTTCAGTGCCTCAGTTTTTGTCTTTCATGACGTTGAGTATAGGCCTCTTATTTTGTAAGATGTCTGAATTTGTGTTTGTCTGTTCTTTTTTAGTGATTATATTATAGTTTTTCATTTTTGCAGGATTACCACTGGAATGATGTGCATATCATGTATATATGTTCCAGTGTTGATGATCCTTTGCTAACATGGTGTCTCTCCACTATAAAATTATTATGTCCCCCATAATAACAAATAAGCAGTTGTGGAAATATTTTTTATGTATATTATTTATGAGAGATTACTGGGAAATGTTTGCCATAGCTGGTGAAGAGCCTGCAGATGATAAAGAATAAGTTAACTTTTTTTTTTAATGAATAAGTTAACTTTTATTTGAAAGACTAGAATCTTGCCTTTGATGTCTCCATTGCATCTTGAGAATTAGCACCATTAAGTTATTTAAAATGGCTTAAAAATCCACTTAAGCATATAGTCTGTAGTGAGAAGATTATTGTTGTAAATTACATTCAGCCCCTCTGTGTGTAACTTTGAAATCAATCATTGCTTCAGAATTGTGGGGAAAGGACTTTTGAGCAACCATGGACCCTACTAAGCTCTGTATTTTTAGTATTTTCTCATGTGTCTGATGAACTGTCTCAGAAATTACTTACTCTCTGTGTGTTTGTGTTTTAAAACTGGAGTTAAAATTCCCAATTGGAAACTGCAATATCTTGTGCTAGATTTCTGTAAGACATTTTGTATTTCAGAAAATGAAATATATTTGATATGAGCTATGTAATAGTGAGGCTAGGTTTCCCTGTTGCAAGGTAGGTCTAGAATCACAAATAAAAGACTAAGCTACATAACCCCTAAGAATTTCTGCATCTAGGTACCCTTACATCAGCTTTTTTATACATTGGCCCTAGGAAAGCAGCATGTTTTAGTTAGACTGTGGCAGAATTTGGGTGTATTACGTGGTTACTTTTTCCTAGTCTATTTTAAACTTTATTATATATAACTTAAATTCTTTGCAATTATACAGAGGACTGTATTTAAAACATTCCTGAAACTATCTTATTAATATTTCTTTTGTAGCTTTATGTATGGTGTTGAGGCAGTATTTTCTAGGTGATTTTTCAGTGTATCATGAAAATGCTTAGCTTGACTTTTTATTTTCTAACTCTAGGAATTTAATAGAAGACAGAGTGTCTGAAATTTTATGCATAAAATAAATTTTAAACAAAGTGTTATTTTTTAAATTTTAGGCCAACAAACAGAAAGCATCAGCTCATAATCTGTTTCTCACCAATAGCCGAAAGGTAAATAGTAGTTTATATTTTCTATTTTTACTGGAATATATTCTTTTTCTTAGGATCTGTTTCTGCAGTTCTTGCCTATTGTATCTTTTTGATAGTTAATCTCACAGCACAAAAAGAATTTTTAAACTTTTCTTAATTGATTTAATAAAGAAAACAACTTTTTCTTAAATTTCTGATATTGGAAATTTTGAGGGTAAGACCATAGCCTATTCTGATTTCTTAGGTAGTCATTAAATCTGCGTTAGCTTTAGTCTCTTCATCTAAGATGTGATAATGTTAATACAACTCCTTTAAGAGTTGTGGGGAGTAGGTGTTACTAGTTGTATTTCTCACTGGTCACTCACCCTGCCCCTCTTTCTTCATCCATTAAGATGAGGGTGAAATACCAAATAATGAAAGTATCAACTTAGAAGAGCTTTAAAAAGAATAAATTCATTTTATATACATTAAGTAAGCTTAGGTTGGTTTCCCCCACATAAGCAGTGATAAGCTATTATTCTTAAAGTGTGTAATATACTTTGTAATCTCCTAGCACATCTCAAATCTCTTTTAAACATTTGAACTTTTATTTCATCTCGTAAGGCAGTATACCTGTGGATTCCTTAACCCTGTTGTCTTAAAGTATCAAGGACTTCATCAGTGTATAGTGGCATCAGCCCCACCAGCCCATAAGAGAACTACTTGTACTAAACATGCTGATAGTTTCTGTGACTTAGGACTTGGAAAAAACAAGCTCCTGGAATTGACCCCTCTGTGTTGTAATAATGTCTTTTATAGCTTGCCCACCAGTGTATGAAGGAAGTTCGTCGTGCAGCCTTGCAAGCCCAAAAGAACTGTAAAGAGACTTTACCTCGGGCCCGCCGGCTCACCAAGGAGATGCTTCTGTACTGGAAGAAGTATGAGAAAGTAGAGAAGGAACACCGAAAACGCGCAGAGAAAGAAGCTTTGGAGCAGCGAAAGTTGGATGAGGAAATGCGGGAGGTAGGACGAAAGTATAGGTTTTTAAAATTCCTAATTCCTGCACTCATACCAATCTCTACTTAATACCATTCATTGTTACATGGATTGTGCTGGTCCATCTCTTTGAAGGTTTTCCTTTCTTTTGCTGATCCTCCACTTTTCCAAACAATATTTCCTTTTCTACAGACTGACCACTCCTTATAATGTACTTGAAGAGTATGTGAGACAAAATCTGTCATTTTTAAGGAGCACTCTGGCTGTACTTCTTCCAACATTAGTTTTCTTTGTTCTTTTGTCAGTCTAGTATGCTAAAATAGAAACATCATCACAAGTAGTTGGTTTTAGCAAATGTATTTTCTCACTGTTTTGGAGTCTAGAAGTCTGAATTCATGGTGCTGGCTCTCGGGTAAGGCTTTGTCTCTCTGGATTCTAGAGGAAGGTCTTTGACTCTTGAGGTTTTTGGATGATCTGCATGTGGCTTATTACTCTTCCTCCAACCTATGTTTCTTTCAGTTGCTTAATCTCTTGCTGATCTGCAAGGAAATTGACTTAAGACAGACTTTTTACTATTAATATCATCTTATTAACATCATAAAGATAATCCATTTCCAGGTGGAATTATATTCATAGGCAATTAAAAAATTATTTTATGAAGTCAGAATTGACTTGTAGTAGATGCTCCATTGAGTTTCTGAGAGCCTGAAAATAAAACAGATTTCCCATCTTTGTCCTTTGGGGCTACTGGTGGTTTCAAACTTCAAGACAGAAACAAAAACAATGATGAGATACTCTCTCACCCCACCAAAAGTAGCAAAGTTCAACAGAGCAGCAAACAACAAATAAAGTTCACCAGGGCAGCAGGTTACAAATGGTGGCAAGGTTATGGAGAGATTAGAACTCTTATTCACTGCTGGTGGGAATGTAAAATGATACAACTACTGTGGAAAGCAGTCTGGCACATTCTCAAAAAGTTGGAAATAGAAATACCATTTCACCCAGCAGTTCCATTCCTAGAAATATACCCTAAAGAAATGAGAGCCTTAACTCAAACAGAAGTATGCTGCATTATTCACAATAGCAAAGAGATGGAAGCAGCCCAAGTGTCCATCAATAAACAGATGGACAGAAAAAGTATGGTATATCCACACAATGGAATACTATGCAGCATTGAAAAACAATGAAATAGCAAAACATTACACAACATAGGTGAGCGTTGGAGGACATTATCTTAATAATATTAATGTTAAGTGAAATATCTCAGTCACAAAAGGATAAATATTGCATAACATGGCTGTTATAAAATACAACAGCCATGAGTGAGGGAGTGAGGAAAGTGGATAGATAATGAACACTGCATTAGAATAGATGAGAGGAAGGACTGTCTGAAGGAATATAAGCATTATATATGTGGGAATAATCAGGAACAAGAGGTGTATTGCTGGGTGGGCTGGGGTGGGGGAGAAGGGAGGAGAAAATGTGCAACAATGAATAAATAAATAATCACAATATATTTAAAAAAAAAAAGAGGTACAGCCTTTTGAGTCAATAGTACAACTTCCTATAGATTATGCCACCAGATTTCCTCCCTTACCCCAGACATGGGGTTATGCCAATGCATAGTTATGATTTGCCGTATATTTTGGAGGGGCATAATTCAAACAACAAGAACTGTTTTTCTCTAGGCTAAGAGGCAACAGCGAAAACTGAACTTCTTAATCACCCAGACGGAGTTGTATGCCCATTTCATGAGTCGAAAACGAGATATGGGTCATGATGGGATCCAAGAAGAAATCCTAAGAAAACTTGAAGACAGTTCTTCTCAGAGACAAATTGACATTGGTGGAGGTGTGGTGGTTAATATCACACAAGAGGATTATGGTAAGTCGTGAATCAGGATTTAGAGGATTCATATATAAGGTTATGCATATTACTAACTCTTACAATTTTTTTATATCTCATAATGATGAATAACATTGATCAGAAAAGTGAGTTTATTGTATTGACCTCGAGAAAAAGACATGTTAAAGAAGTATATAAAATCAATTTTATTAGAGAACTTGAAAAGGATATGGTTATATAGTCTTACAAATTTGAGGTTTAATGGTTTGCGTTCCTAGTAGAAATAGAAGATTCTAGGTTGGAATACTTTCAGATAACTATCTGCAGAGAAAATCTTCTCATGTAAAAATAGTCTTAGTGATTGAAGCATAAGAAGAAAGAACGCTTTAGTTTGGCTACTGTTACTGATGTATACTGTTGCTTCAGGGCTGACTCATGGTTGACCCTCTATTACATTTTCAGAAGCAGTAAATCCTTCTCTCACAGAGGAACTGGAACATTCATACTGTACCTTTGGGTTGACAGGGCATTTCCTTACTGCTATTAATGTGGAGTTTTAGAGGTTACGGAGTATTTGAAGGATGTATACGTTTGTATTACTTCAGCTGAATTAGTTCCTTCCAGCATAAATAGTTCAAAACTTTGAATTCTCCCAACCTTATTTGTGCTGGCTGTTGACATTGCTTCCTGGGGAAAAGACAAACCCAGGTCTGCTAAAGAGTATAGCTAAGTTCTCTTTTGGTTTTTGTGAGCTGATAATCAGCTACTGGAGAGCATGGCAGTCTGCTGCTTCTGTTATTACTTGCTCCTTCCCTCAGTAAAAGACTCCTTCAAGCTTTTCTCCTTTTCAGCCCTTCTGAATTTAAAGGTAACTAGAAGAACCAAAGATTCTTTTTTTTTTTTTTTAATTTTTGTGTGAGTGTACCGTCAAATCAGATCTGACTGGTACAGGAGGAGATTGTTTCTCCTTTTCCCGGCAGAGCATCTGGTGGATTCGAACCGTGTGCCTGTGGGATTGTAGTTGCAGCTCCTTGCCACTAGGCCACCAGAGCTCCCCAGAACCAAAGATTCTTATATGTTGATGTTGTGTCTTTGAAAAATATCATCTACTAACCTGTACAACTTTCCCTTTTCAGATAGTAACCATTTTAAGGCCCAGGCCCTGAAAAATGCTGAAAATGCTTACCATATTCACCAAGCCCGGGTGAGTCTTAAAGATTATAAGAAAAATTCGAACTGGCTCTGAAAATACTCCCTAACCTCTTACTTAAGTGACCTTCCTTTGATCACCTGTAATTACATTTTCTGTTAAAAGCATTGGACAAAATATAACGCATTGTATCTAAGTATGACTGGGGGTTAACTAATTTAAGCTTTATAACATTAATTATAATATCTGCAATGTCTGATCATCTAACTATTGTATGTTGACTTTTTATCAGTCTTACTAAGGGTCTATTATCTGTTTATTAATTTTTTTATTATTAAATTTTATTGGTTTTAATGAACATTTACAGAGATTTTGGGTTTTCATTCATTCATTGTTGCACTGTTTTCTCCACCCTCATCCCCAGTTCGTTCT